AATACCTAGAACAAGATTCATAAATTCATGTGTTTATAGAAAACAAATGTAAACATTTAAAAATTACGTTTTCTGCTTAAATTTATAAAACTGATAAACTGGAAGTTCTACATAATGGAAACACAAAAACCAATTGGTAAATAAAAAAATATCATTACAAAACTATCACATGGAAGTCAATGACTAGACAAGAATGAACCTAGTAACGCCTCATAAAAACTCATTCCATTCCATCCCATCCATTTCCTTGTGAAGCACAGTAATTTCCTTAATTGAAGTATTTTACATAACCCCTCACCAATCTTTTATTGGGTAAGCTCAGGCCTTTTCAATGGATTAAAAATGCATCCTGCAACAGCCAACAATGACTGTACTGTCCTTTATGCCTTTCCTGTCTAGTGTTCTGCTGTGGTAGAGATCTGTTCACGCTATTGCCAGTGGCGTGGCGTAACAGCTAATATTACAGGCAGTGCACTTTCTGGGCTCCAGGCAGAGTACACACACTGTATTTTGGTCCTCACAACAACTCTGTATGGCAAGGACTGATTGTTAGGTTTGTTCCAGTTGGGAACCCAAAAAGTATGTATAGGACAGAATGTGGTTAATGCAAAACTTAGGCTTGCAAAACAATAGCCACAGGAGTCTGAAGAGCCCTGACTTCGTAAATCTAACAGATAGCTCAGCCAGCATTCCTTTCCCTCTCCCTCTCTCTCTCCTGACAAGAAGGATGACGACAGAGCTGAAGGATGGATATAACTGGGTCAGGGGTCCTAGGAGCTGGCTGTTTGAAAAAGAATTTATTACAAAGGGCTGTTCTGGCCCACTTACTTACACCCCCGGGGAGAAACCTTCTATAAAACCCAAGGCTCTCACCTTTTCACTCCTGGACGCTTTTTCTCCTCCACCCATCTGCACCCAGATGCTCAAAATAAACAGCATTTTGCTACACATGAGGCTTCCTGTTTCCCTCTCTGGGCTCTAGACCTAACACTAATCGTTATGCTCATTTTTTAGATGAGGAAGCTATGGCACCAGGGAGGCTGAGTGTTATGCCTGGGAGCAAAGAACTTGGAATCCAGGGGCAAAATCTAGACTGGAAACCAATCTGGGTCTCGAGTCCAGTCTTTTCAACCTCTAGATGCCTCTCAGGAGGAGCACCTCAATGACACTGTAAAACGTGGAGAAAATACAGTACCAGCGGGAAGCAGGGGCTCCAACGGGGTAAAGGCATGCTCCATAGCCGATTATTGGCCTCTGCATTAAAAAAAAAAACAACAAAAAAAGCGAAGTTAGAATTTCTCAAATCTAATCAAAGAATTCGCGAAACCTGCAGTACAATGAGCCACTTGAATGTGGCACTTCTAGGGCGGCGTGCTCCGGGGCACCCCGCAGCGAGCTGCAGCTCTCAGCCACCCCGGCCCACGCCCGTCACGGCTCTGCCGGGAGCGCCCCGCGGGAGGGGCCAGAAGGGAGGGGGCCGGGGGGCTTGGGCGCGCGCGGCGGCGGGAGGTCTAAGGGTCCGCCCCTCCAGTTTCGCCCCGCGCGTCCGTCCCCAGCCGGGTGCCGGGGGAGCGAAGGGCGGCTGCCCCTTCCCGCGACCGGCGCGCCGGACGGCTGTCGCACTTACACAATGGCGGGTGGAGCCACCAGCGAGGGGAACGCAGGCAGCGGGAGCGACGGCGCTCGACAGCTCGGCGCTCGGCTGAGGAGCCTCTGGCGGCGCGCGGCCCGCGAGCTAGTGTTTGTCCCCTCCCCGGAGCCGGCGGTGCCTGCGAGCCTTAACCACGCCCTGCGCCCGGCGGCCCTTCGACCTGCTCGGGCGCTGCTTTCTCCGGGCTCGTTCTGCTGCTGGGCTACGGCTAGTATTTCTGCCGAGCTCTGCACGCTCATCTCCAGCAAGGAGGCCGCCATTTGCTCGAAACCAAGAAGAGAATTTCCCTCCACCCTTCTTTTACCTGGTCCGAGCCACGCAAACTAAGTTTTCAACAGCGCCTCTTCTTGGTCCTAAGTCTCTTTGATCTTCCGCATGCCACCAATATCCTTCCTGAATACTCCGTTAAAATATTTGCTTCCTTTGCTTTGTGGAAAAAAATCAGAAATTTTTCTAAGGAAGAAACTTTAAGCCACCTCCTTACAGCTGCACTGAGGCCAGCGTGCCCCCAAGGTGAAGCGGCACTCTTTAAATACAGGCTTTTACGATACTGATTAAGCCTGACCTGCGGGAAAGTTCTTAGGCAAAATTACTCTCCTTGTATCTACCACTCCTCGTCCTCCGTTGTAGAGGAAGCAGAACTTCACCTGTACCCTCTTGAGGTCTCCCGCTGGGCCAGAGACGTTAAATTGACTTCATACAGTTTAACCCGAGAAAAGCAACAGATTTTGATATCTGTGTGGACGTCTCCACAGGAAATGACCAAAAGGAGTGACAAACCTAAATGCTTATATACTGGTATTAGCCACAACAAATTTTCAAAAGTCCACATTTAAAGATGCCATTGATGAAACTAATAGAAGCACAGGGTACAGGGAAATGTTTACACGTGTAAGTGGTTGCTACAAATCCATCAGTAAAATGCAAACAACCTGTAAAATGAGGAGCAAGGATATACACAAATTATAGGAGATACTCAAATGACAAAAACACATCACTAGTAGTCAAATAAGCAAATTTGAACAATGAGATTAATTTACCTGCCAGATTGCAAATGATTTTTAAGTAATAATAAAAATTTACATTTACTGATCAATCATTACGTTCCAGTCACTGTGTTGAGGGACTTATATATTTTATTTTATTACTCTAAAATATAGGCTCCGAGAAAACAAGGACCAAAATTTAATTATTCACTTTTGAATTGTCAACAAAAAAGAGCCCAAACTCTGTAAAATAAATAAATAAAATGTTCTGAGACAAATATTACATGTGACCATGGCCCAGAGAGCCATGCCCAAGAAGCCTTGAGCAAGTGGTCTCCTGTTGGGTTAAATTTGGTTTTATACATTTCAGGGAGACAGGAATTACACATGAAGTTATAAATGAATACAGGGAAGGTGTACATTGGTTTAGCCTGAAAAGGCCGGACATCTGGAAATGGGAGATTACAGGTTACACGTGGGGTTAAAGATTCTTTGATTTGTAATTGGTTGAAGAAATGAAGCTTTGTCTAAAGGCTTGGTATGTTTTAACATAAGTTTGTTAACCAGAGACAAGTCACAGGACTAAGACTCAAACTCGAATAATCTGTCAAGTAAATTAATGTGTGGTTTAAGCTTTGTCTTGCATAGGCTTAAGCCTGTTAATGAGTTACAAAGAATATCTCCAAGAAAGGAAGGGAGCATGAAAGGGCAGGTCTGACCTACCTTCTCATGGCCAGCAACTGAGCTTTAGGGTATTTCTGGGGTCCCCTTGTCTAAGAGGAGGGTACGTTCCCTCAGCTGGGAGGGTTTAAGATTTTATTTTAGTTCACAGAATCCTCACCCTCTAGCACGGCTGCTGGAGAAGACTAAGCAATCAATGCATATTTATTGAATGTTCATACTGAAATTGTTTCCAATATCCTGGCATGCTACTTCTCTAGTGGTTTCCACAGCTGGCTCATCCATGAAACTGCAGCACAAAGGGACTTCCCCTCAGTTACTCTTCATTTCATCTAGGAGTGTTCACTTGTTTTCCCAAACAGCTATAATCCCTATCTGTAATTATCTTATTTGTTTACTTGTTTATGATTTGTCCCCCCCCCTACTAGAGTGCTAGCTCCCTAAGGGCAGGAACTACCCTACCTCTGGAGAAATAGAAACTGCTGTTTCTCCAGCCAAATCTATGACTCAGAGAACAGAGGTTAAGAAAATGCTTACAAAATGGGTTAACAAATGGTGGGGGAAATAAATGGAAAATTATGGTACATCATACCAAGAATTAGTCATACCTGGTTTTATTGCACTTCGTTTTATTGCAACTCACAGATATTGTGTTTTCTACAAATTGAAAGTTTGAGGCAAGCCCATGTCTAGCAAGTCTACCAGTGCCATTTTTCCAATAGTATGTGCACGCTTCATATCCCCATGTCAAATGTTGGTAATTCTCACAGCACTTCAAACATTTTCATTATTATTATATCTGTTATGGTGATCTGTGATCAGTGATGTTACTATTATAATTGCCTCCCTATTTCCTGAGAGATAACAATATTGAAATTAGGTCAGTTAGTATCCTTACAATGGCCTATGAGTGTTCAATGAAAGGAAGAGTCCATGTCTCTCACTTTAAATCAAAAGCTAGAAATGATTAAGCTTAGTGAGGAAAGCATATTGAAAACTGAGAGAGGCCGAAACCTAGGCCTCTTGTGCCAAACATTTAGACAAGTTATGAATGCAAAGAAAAAGTTCTTGAAGGAAATTAAAAGTAATGTTCTAGTGAACACATGAATGATAAGCAAAACAGCCTGATTTCTCATCTGGAGAAAGTTTTAGAGGCTAGCTAAGGATCCAACAAGCCACGGCATTCCCTTAATCCAAAGCCTAATCGAGAGTAGGGCCCTAACTCTCCTCAATTTTATGAAGGCTAAGAGTCGCAGGAAGCTGTAGAAGAAAAGTTTGAAGCTAGCACAGGTTGGTTCATCAGGTGTAAGGTAAAGAAGCCATCCCATAACATAAAAGTACAGGGTGAAGCAGCAAGTGCTGACATAGAAACTGCAGCAAGTTATCCACATATGAGTGAGAACATGTGAAGTTTGTCTTTCTATGCCTGGTTTATTTCACTTAATATAATGTCCTCCAGTTCCATCCATGTTCCAAGTGATAGGATTCATTCTTTTTATGGCTGAATAATGTTCCATTGTGTATATGTACCACTTGCTTTATCCATTCATCCATTGATGGGCACTTAGGTTGATTCTAAATCTTGGCTATTGTGAATTGGGCTGCAATAAACATGGAAGTGCAGCTATCTCTTCGAGATACTGATTTCCTTTCATAACAAAACTGTAATGGATGAAGAGTTGCTTCTTATGAATGAGCAAAGAAAATGATTTTGTGAGATGGAAACTACTCTTGGTGAAGATGTTGTGAACATTGTTGAAATGTTCACATTGAAATGAAAAGGACTTAGAATATTACATAAATGCAATTGGTAAAGCAGTGGCAAATTTTAAGGATTGACTCCAATTTTGAAAGAAGTTCTACCATGGATAAAATGCTATCAAACAGCATCTCGCTCTACAGAGAAATCTTTCGTGAAAGGAAGAGTCAGTCAATCAATGTGACAAAGTTCAGTGTTGTCTTGTTTTAAGAAATTGCCACAGCCCCAGCTACTCAGGAGGCCTTTTGCACAAAGAAGAGTTAGCACCTGGGCTCATAGTATCTTGTAGCTTTTCCCCAACAGTTGTTTGGAGCAACATTGTTCTGCAAGATTTTAATAAGTCTGCCCAAAATATGGTGTTACATGTTCCAATGTCTTAGACACAATACAGGTTTGGGGATAAACAGCTGCTTCTGGTCTTCACAAGATGTTTAGAAGTGAATAATGTGTTATAAATCTTAAGGGAAATCGGTGATAGTGTGTAGTATTTTAAAAACTGAGTGTTACCTGTTTCATCTCCAACCATCAGTTCACTTATTTCAGCGTTTTCTGTTCAGGTCATTATTTCAGCCTCAAAATAAACACCTATTCTGATCTCACCTCAACAGCCCAAGCAGTATTTCTAGCCACCTTTACGATATTTCCTCTTACATATTTCACCATTACCTCCGATTCAAGGGACTGAAAATGAAGTCATTCATTTATTCCTCTTCCCACATCTACATTTCTCTCCTTTGCACCATTTTTCTGTATGCCTTGATAGAATAACTTTGTCCTTTTTTTTCATTACATAAACTCAATCAGTTGCCAGCTTCTTGTCTTATTGATCACTTATTCCAGCCTATCAAGGAAATTCGTGATCAACATTCTATCATTCTGGTCATTTCTCTTCATTCACTAATCAAAAACATTTAAATCCATGAATTTTTAAGGCATTCTTTAACTATATCCCAAAATTTTAATATGTCGTGCTTTAGTTACCATTCAGTTCAAAATATTTCCTCGTTTCCTTTATGAATTTTTTCTTCGATCTATGCGTAATTTACAAGTGTGATATTTAATGTCCAAATAATTTTGCATTTTCTACATATCTTTTGTTTTTGAGTTGTAGTCTAATTCTACTATGTTCTGAAAACATACACTGCAAATTTCAACAGACTT